CTTTCCCCAAGACTGGCATGCTGCCTGAAATCTCAGAATCAATGCTCACTGTGAGAGAAAATGTTTATTTTATATTTCAGATGCAAAAACCACATTCAGTAATAATGCAAACACATTACATGGATGATCATGGATGGTCTGGAAATCAAGGCATGACAATACAACATACTTGGCATCCTGCTATATAGAAGCAGCACTGTTGGGTAAAAACAAACATGCAAACAACAGAGCAATCAATGCTGTGAATTTTCTAAACCAGGGATGGCTAACCTGCAGCATGCATGGCACAAGTGACGCAGGCAGCCTGTGTGTGTGGCAGGTCACAGACCAGAAAGAAGGCAGGCAGTACAGGGGCACATAGGACAGGGAGTAGAAAACAAGAGAAGCAGATAGGACAGGAAGCCAATCAGGAAAGGGAAGGGGATGAGAATGGCACTCTGGAAAGGTCTAAGGCTAATTTGGGGCACACCAACCCAAAAGATTGCCCCTTACTGTTCTAAACCCTCCAGATTTCACAGGGTTTATGAACACAAAAGATGGTCCAAGGTCTAAAAGGTGCTGTTAAAACCTACAAATATCTGGTTATGCAAGAGTTGTGTCAATTGGTTCCTTGCTGCTTCATGAGTGACTAATTTGCCTTTTGAAAGCAATGTACTCTGCATACACCAAAGATGAAAGATAATACATAATGATCACTTTTCTCTCTCTCTCTCTCTCTCTCACACATGCATGTGTTACAGCTGAAGCCAATAGGCTGGGTATGGGGGTTAGGGAGGGTCTCCCCGGCCCCTCTTCTCCACATCTCCAGTTGCCGGACTGCCTATTGACAACCTGCCCGCTTCTCTTCCAAGCGAGAGGGCAGACTGTTGATCAGTGAGCTCTCTTATGGGCAGTGGTGACCCAAGGAACAGCCTTCTAGTGCCCCCTGGCTGGAGAGTTCATGTGGGTAGCTGTCCAGCCAGGGGCCTGGAGCCACATACACTCCAACTTCACCAAAATTCTTACCACTAAAAATGAATCCCTGTGCATGGCTGTAGACTCAAGTGAACTCCTCTGAGAAGCTGGTTGGTTTGATTTGAACTAAGCTATTTTCAGCTTCACTTGACTCTGTTGGATACTCTTATGTTAACTTAATTTTCTGTATGCTGATCTTGTTAGCTAAGACCACACAAAATCAATTGTGGGCTAGGGAGTTTTCAGTCTTTTTTTTTCACTTATGGACAAGCTAATCTGTGTGTGGAGAAGGAAAAGAAACTTTAACATAAATCTGTTCCTCTTTTTACCTGGGGCATTAATTTTAGCAAATACCATAGAAACAAAAAAGTTTACTTACCCAAGTACCATTTTCATTGTTCAACTGAAATATTTATGGTACCTGATTTAAAACAAACCAAAGCCATAAAAACCAAACAAAAGAAAAAAAACCCCAGTATATTCCCACATAGCAACATGCACACGGTAGGCGCATCTCATGAGATGCTACATCGCCATAACAATGCTCTATGATGACATAGCATTGTTAGGAACAAACTGTGATGCCATAGCCATGTGCTCCCTCACTATAGTACGTTGCTACAGTGACATAGCAGCTAAAAATAACCATGCACTGCCAGCATGGCACAGTAATGGCTGTTTTTGCGCTATCGTTTTGGACTTCCTT